TTGAGTAAGAAACACCCAGCTAAATGGGAGCAGCATGGTTTTGGGTGTGGCTGAAGGGATTCACTGAAGACAGAGGACCCACCCTGCGTAAGCTTGTCCTCTGCATGGCATAAAAGGGAAATGAAGGAGGAAGGCTCCCTTTGGAGGAGCTCCAGCCTTCCCCTTCAGCTTGGACGTGGACTCCTGCCTTCCAGTGCAGAGCTTTCAGCCGTCCATCGCAGACTCCAAAGCCTTCCATCGCAGACCTTTTGGCCTCTTGGTATGACTTGCATGGAACATTCCAGTGGGCTCTAAGCCTTCAGCGGGATCCTTCAGATCTCTGGCACAGAGTCCTTTTCACTCTTCCACTCCTGACTGTAGGTGGCCGTTGTGAGCCAGCCTTGTAAATCCTTAGGTATTTGTATATGTTGCACTAAATCTGTTTCTCTAGTAAGCACTGACTGATACATTCAGTACATTTTTAAACAGGCCTGTGCTACACCAGCCAATCAAGTCAGGAGAGAGAAACTACAAGGTAATTTGAACAAAGGAAATTTAGCATAAGAGCAGACTGAAGTAGTGAGGGGTTGCCTAGTAAGCAGTAAAGAAAACTAAAAATTACAGAGCTGGCAGCCACCGTGCGGGGCTGACCCGAGCCTGAGCGCACTGTGGCTCCTGAATGGCAGGAGAGCCCCACCGGTGAGCTGCCCTCCTAGGGGCTGGGAGCTCTTCCGGGGAGAGGCCTTCCAGAGGTTCTGGCCCAATGGCCTTGTGCTTCTCGGAGTTCGAGGCCAGGAGAGAAATCTGCAGTGTGGAGCCAACGCAGCTGCCGGACCACCACCCAGCGGCAAAACTCGTTCCTGCTAGAGTGTTGTTCCAGTGCCCTCTCCTGGAAGCATGGTGCCAGCTGACACAGAAAAAGTATCAAAGGCTTCTACCTGTTTCACAGGGTGAGGAAAAGGGTGAATTTGGAGGCAAGAGATGATACATTAATAACAAGCACAGTGACTGCGTACAAACAGACATGACATCGTAAGGGAAATGTTTCCAGGAAGATGTGCCTGCTGCCAGCAAGATTATACAGTGCATTTAAAGCCAAAGATTAAGGATTTGGGTGTTATTCTTACCATATGTGCTAGTCTCTCTGTCTTTGTCCCTGTCTGCCTGTCTCTGTCTGGTCTTTTTTGAGATGGTTTCACTGTGGTTCAGACTGGTCTTGAACTCACTTTGTAGCTCAGGCTGGCCTCGATCTCTCAGTGATCCTCCTGCCTCAGCTTCCTGAGTGCTGAGGATTACAGGCAAGTGCCACCACACCCAGCCTACTATTTTCTCTCTTGACTAAGAATTGCCTGAAATGGGGCTGGGGATTTAGCTCAGTGGCACACCGCCTGCCTGGCAAGTACAAGGTCGTGAGTTTGATTCCCGGTATGGGAGGGGAGGGGTGGAAGACAAACAAACAAAGAATTGCCCGAAATACTTTCTTCAGTTACATAGATAAGCCATAGGGTGTGTCACGTAGAAATAAAGTGCTTTTGAAGTAAAACCTTTAGTTCATTAGAAACAGTAGAAGCAGGCATAAAAGGCTTCAGATACAGGGAGAAAAAAGTTGTCTCGTGAGCCTCTTTCTCCCTTCAGGTATACCACCTAGTCCATCTTCCTAGAGATCTGCAGGGGCCTCCTCCTGCAGCAGATGGAGCCGCTGCCTCGCACTTGCACAGCGGCTCCCTGAAGCCGCCTCCGCTGGGATCCCACGGCCCTTCACTTTGCTGGCCTGGATCTTTTTAGTCTCCAGAAAGTCTTTCTTTCTTGATTTACCCCCTTGGTTGATTGGGGCACATTGAAATTGTTTTACTACCTTACACAGATGACACTTGCTTTGTGATTTCACACGTCCTGATATTTTTTTGATAATTTGGCAGGTTATAAAAGATACAAGTTGGAAATAATTTTCCTCCAGAACTTTGAAATCATCTATCTCCCCATTGTTACCTCTTTCCATTTATAAGTAGGAGGCCTTCTGATCCTGGCTCTTTCCGTGCAGCCTGATGCCTTTCTGAGTGCCGGGAACTCTCGGTTTCCTGGATCCTGCAGGAGCCCGTGCTGTGCAGTGCAGTCAGTCTGTCTTCACCCTCTCACGTGACTGCCTCCTGGATGTTCTCCTTTTGGGAGGGAGATTTCTAGATGTTCAACCTTCTGGACTGATTCTCAGAGTTTTCTTAACTTACCTCTCCTATTTTCTACTTTTGCCTTTTTCCTCTCTTTTCTAGATTTCCTTAACTTTTCATTTTGACTTTACATTCAGGAAGTGTTTCTATGTAATCTTTAAAATCTTTTTGTTGCTCTGAAGTTAGTGCTTTGCGTGACATCCTCTTGTCTCACGAGCACAGTGTGCTTCCTCTTTGTCTGGCAGGATTAACAAGAGGTTTTCTTTTTCCCTTGACTTTTCATTTTGGCGTGATCTTTGCTTCCTATAAACTGCTTTGTTGTTTTTCTATTAGTCTTGATTTGCCTTTTTCTGTGTCTTAGATGTCTGGTAAGTCCCGTTCACTTAGTTCAAGAGTGGGGCTTGGAAGACATTCTTCAGCAGTGTGCCCGCTCAGCCCTAGAAAGCGGTTGTAAGTGTGTGAAGGTGCTGGACAGCATCTGGAGAGGCTGGGCCCCGTCTATCCTCAGCCTGCAGACAGCATCTGCTCAGCCAGAGTAGACTCCACACACGAGTGCGTGCGTGCATGCGTGCGTGCGTGTGTGTGTGAAAGCACGAGCGAGCGAGCCCGGCACCCGTGGGTTAGCTCACTGTCCGTGGCTCGATTGCATGCTGGAGTTGGCTCATCTTCCTGCGGCAGATTAGCCGTGTACTCCTGGACTGATGGATCCTGCAGAAAAGTCACCCAGGACTTCCAGGTCTTGCTTTGAGTGTTTAGGACCTGAGTTGGGGGCAACTGCCACAACGTACTTGCCCTCGAATGTGCCTGATACCCCCGCCTCCCCATTGTAACTGTCCAGAATACAAGTCCCTGTCCTCCAGCAAATCTGTAGGAGCTGCAGACAGGTGGAAGGAGGGTCTGGGAATCCACTGCTTCCTGATCCATTGGTCAGCCTGCTTTTAGCTGGTCCTTGCTGCTCCTCACAGCTTGTTGGTACCTCCATTTCCTGAGCCTTGGTTTGGCTCTGCCTACTGCTGAATAGGGCATACGTCTTCAGATATTTCAGGGCAGTTGCTCTCACCTACTTTCTAGTTTACGAAGTTCTGTTAATATTATTTCCTGTTCTCTTTGTATTCACTGTACCAAAAAGTCTGGTTTTTGTTGTTTTGTTTTGTTTTTTGAGACAGGGTCTTGCTGTGTAGTTCTGGCTAGCTTCGAACTCCCTGTGTAGCCCAGGCTGGATCCTGAATCAAGGCGATCCTGAATCAGCCTCCCGAGTGCTGGGTTACAGGCTTGTGCCACCACACCTGGCTTTGTTTTTTTGTTTTGAGACTCACTGGGTAGCCCAGGCTGGCCTTGAACTTACGATCCTGCCTCCTCAGCCTCCTAAGTGCTGTTATTGCAGGCTGTACCACCATAGCCAACTAAAAATTCTGATTCTTTACTGATTTTATTATAGAAGGCTGAATGTAAAGGATGAATTTAAATGTTTGTTTCTGAGGTGTTCTCCCTGTAGCTATTGCTACCTAGATAGCAGCATTTGAAGATTCCTTACTTTTAGAAAGCATGATTATTAGATGCAGTTAACGTGATTCCCCCTCTGAGATTTAACAGGGTTTATATCAACACTGTGTTTCAAAGTTGCTTTTTAAATTCCATTCAAATTTTCTTTTAAAAAACTTTAAAATTTCTTAATAAAGAGTATCAAGAGGCCAGGCGTGGTGGCGCACACCTGTCATCCCAGCACTTGGGAGGCTAGGCAGGAGGATCCTTGTGAATTCAAGACCACCGTGGGCTACAAGGTGAACTCAAGGCCAGCCTGAACTGCATAGTGAGACCTGTCTCAAAAAGACAAAAAAAAAAAAAATCTTTGAGACCTTGTGTGAAATGTAGGTTCTTAAAACTCAAGAAGCAATGACCGTAAAAAATAGCTCTTGCGGTTGCTCATTGCCTTTATTTACAAAAGTTGAAGTGTGCCAAAGGATACATATCCAGAATACGTAAAGAACTCCTGTTCTTCATCTAGAGCAATTAGGAAAAAAGAGCAACATGAACCAGCCATGCACTTCACAGACACATGTGTCCACAGAGGCACGAAGAGACCGCAGCTGGGGGGGAGCGAAGTGCAGGTGACAGCCTTGTCGAGGCACTGTCGCCACTCCGTGGTCGGCAGGGTGTCGCCCATGGGGGGTGTGGGTCCGCATGTGCTTTGCACACTGCAGATGGTGCTGTCACTTGCGAATGTTCAGTATCGTCTTCACTTTAGGGAACAGCGTAGCACAGTTCAAGTTCCCGGGGTTCCCCAGGGGAGACGTGTACAGTAACGGGTGGCTACACCCTTCACACTGTTGAGGCCACCCATGGGAAAGTGGAGCAGCATACAACAGAGGACAGCAGAGCCAGTGCTTTATAGTTTAACATGGCTTAAAATCTAAAATGTGGATTTCATGGATGCAACAACAAAAGAGGAAGCAAGGGAAATTAAGCATGGGATTTAAATTACACTTCTTCAAATGCTAGAGGCAGAGGACAGAATTGGTGGGGAGAACCACTTGTTACAAGTAGATTGTCGGTATCTTAACCTTTGCTGTGGGTAGTGGATGTGAGGAGTCCTCGTTACACTATTGGAAATAGATACACAGAACCATTGTTTTGCCTTTGTTTGTCTTTTAAGAAGTAACGTTTTGAACATCGGAACCAGTGTTTTATAGTTGAAAGCTCTAACAATATTGATTTAAAATAAAGCTGAACTACCTTTTCTAGGTAGAGGTGCATATACTGCTAAGTGTCATATACTTTGTTGAGTATTGAGTGCATAAATATTTGTAGCTGTTTCTGTTCTTTCATAGAAATTTTACGTTTTTTTCCCTTTCTTAGGACAAAGTTAAACTATAACCCTCCAAAAGATGATGGATCCACTTATAAGATTGAACTGGAAGGGATATCGGTAATGGTTATGAGAGAGATCCTGGATTACATCTTCAGTGGGCAGGTACGAGACACGGGAGCAGGCCCGAGGAGAGGCGTCTGAGCTCAGCCGTGCTGCAGCACCAGCGCAGTAACGCCATCATGCTCACCTGGTCGCTGCAGGCCTGGGCTGGTACCTCCTCCTGGTGACGGCACCCCACGCGCTCTCCTGGGCTCTGCTCTGAAGGAGAAGCACACAGAGTAAACTGATCCAAATCCAAGTCTGGGTTTTGCCATTCTGAGCTCACCTTCCAGCGTGAAAGGTGAAGGGCGCAAGCCGGGCATGGTGGCGCACGCCTATAATCCTAGCACTCTGGAGGCTGAGGCAGGAGGATCAATGCGAGTTTGAGGCCAGCCTGGGCTACAAAGTGAGCTCGAGGCCAGCCTCAACTGCCTACTGGGACCCTGTCTCAAAAAAAAAAAAAAAAAGGGTGCAGGGTGAACCTTTCCCCGATCCTTTGGGTTTGTTTTTGCACCTTGAAGCCAACCTTGCTTTGTGTCCACATGCTGGGGAACATGTTCTGTCTCTAACGCATTGTAGAAATAACAAGTTCCTTGTAAATTATTCCCAGAAGGGGCATTCACACAGGTGGCAGACACCCTTATAGTCGTGGCCCTTGGTCCTCTTACCTCTGCACACCACCATCCCTGGCCCTCCCTGCCCTTTCTTCCTGATGGCGCCTGTGTGTATTTCTAGAGGTGTAGTTATACCCAGGGGGACAGTGATGAGGGACCAGACTTCCTCTTTTCCTCTGCCCCCTCCTTGCAGCCTGCTGCTGGTTCACAGTCCAGGGTGGGACTCTTCATCGGAACCTTGGGTGTGAGTGGGCTGGCTTTGTCACAGGAGGAGGTTGTGTGAGAGTGAGCTTCCTCTTCCTCCTTGCTGCGATCGTGTCCCCTGCGCTCTCCTTTGTCCTTCTGCATCACTGCCGTGTTCCTTGACTTTTCTGTAAGGGCTGTTTCTCCGACATAGCTCCTCAGTGCTCTGGGCGTGGGCTCGCCCTCTCTCAGCGTATTCGTTCCGTCCAGGGTTAAACTCAGCGATGCTCGTGTTTCTGCAGTGCTCCTCCAGATGTGAGCAGTGGGTGTGCATGGGTGTGGTGGTTAAAAACGAGTGAGTTAAAGTCCAGGAGACACAGCGGCAACGCTACCCAGGCGTACGCCCAGTCTCCTGCCTGGCTCATCAGGTTCGCTGGGCACAGCGTGAGCCCTGGAGGTGGTGGGCCAGAGAGAGCATTGTCAGGGTCAGGCTGGGCGCCGGGTGTATTTACAGGTGGACAGCTCTGACTGTCCCCAACTCACATTTAAAACAAGCCTGCAGGGTAAGCTATGACCAGCTCCTGAATTGGGAGTTTAGTTTTATTGAGATGCAATTTAATGTTTTCTTACTTGCCTGTGTGTGAATAGTCTACCGCTGTCCCCTGTCTCGCAGCTAAATTTAAGATGCGTGTGAATGGGAAATGTTGCCTTCCTCAGCATACTGCTTTCCGGTTTGGCTGCTCACTTTCTGAGGCAGTTGGCAGTTGCAAGGTTTTATTTTGTGTCTGGCATAAAATGTGCAGTATGTGGTAAGAAGCGACTCCGCGGTCCTCGGGGTCCTCTCCTCCGCACGCCCCAGCCCAGGGAAGCACCCTGCTCTGGGCGCTCACTGGTGACCGTGACTGTGACAGGGCACTGCTCGGCGCCCCTCCCACCTTGCTTTACCGTCGCATGGAGAAGCTGGGAAGTGGGTAGAGAAGGAAGTGGCAATGAGGAAATGGAAGAAAATTAAGGAAACATAAGCATGTATAACGCAGGGAAGAGACCTCACGTTAGGGGTTTGTACGAAATGGTAGTTCTGAGGCCCAGCTGTATCTACGTTACTGGGGACAGTGTTTGGGGATTCAGAGGAAGGCTTCTAAGGAGGTGAGTGGATTCCGTGCCTTCGGTTCCATGCGCCGCTGGGGCGTAGCAGAAGGGTAAATGAATGTGCTCAGCGGCCTTAATGTTCGTGTTTAAGGACACCACCTACGGTTCCCCGTGGAAGGCAGAGCTTCCTTTTCCTACGCATCCCATCGGGTTATGATGCGAACACAGGGCGGGCTTAAGGGTCGTCCATACTTGCGCAGCAAGTGAGGACCCAGGAAATCCAAGGGTCTCATCTGCTTATGTGGGTATGAGGTTCCTTAGGACCCACGCGCTCCTGCGGTGGGACTGTGTGGCATTGCCAGAATTCACTTAGCTTCGACCTGCAAGAACAGAAATGTCAGGTGGTTTGGCCTAAGAGAGGAGAGGATTGGGTTTTAAGTATCTGCATTCCGATGTAAAGTGTTTCTGGTGCTCTCACAGATTCGGCTGAATGAAGATACAATCCAAGATGTGGTGCAGGCAGCAGATCTGCTGCTGCTGACGGACCTCAAGGCTCTGTGCTGCGAGTTCTTGGAGGGCTGCATTGCAGCGGAGAACTGCATCGGCATCCGGGACTTCGCGCTGCACTATTGCCTGCACCACGTGCACTACTTGGCCACCGAGTACCTGGAGACTCACTTCCGGGACGTCAGCAGCACAGAGGAGTTCCTGGAGCTGAGTCCTCAGAAGCTCAAAGAAGTGATTTCTCTTGAGAAGTTGAATGTTGGCAATGAAAGATATGTGTTTGAAGCAGTAATTCGGTGGATAGCACACGACACAGAAGTAAGAAAGGTACTGTCATTTATAACGCGGTCTCATGTTGCTTTTTCATTTATGTTTAATCCAAATAATAGAGTTGTGACCTAAAAGATATCTGTAAAACATCTTTCCATCTGTGACTAAGATGAGCTTTTAGACTAGTCTGCAAGGAGCATAATATCCGCTGGACATTGCATTTTAGTGGGAAAACACACTCTGAGCTTAAGCTGGAGGCTGTAGAGCTGTTCTTCCTTCACCTTTACTTTCAGCATCCATCCTGCATCCTTCGGCATCCCCTTTAGGATGCTGGTGGCCTCAGGAGTGCAGCAGAGGGCTCACCCTGGGGTGCCCCATGGCCTGGGAGGAGGTAGGAGGGCTCTGGTGTTGTGTGGCCATCCGTTCTACACGAGGGAAGACTCTGGGAGTGGCCGCTGGGGAGAGGGGCCTTAGAGAGGGGCAGTCTTCAAGTCCACAGTGGGCAGGCTCCGGCAGAAGGAGAAGAATGTGGGGGTTGGCCCTCCAGTCTGCTTTTTGTAAAGCAGAGACCAGCTCCGGTGGCTCATTGCAATATCAGACACGTATTAGGCTGGTTTCAGAGAGTAGATTTCCAATCGCATAATTGTACCCTACTTGTCCTTGGCAACTACTGACTTAAATTTGGATAATTATCAGGTCCTGTCCTAAGTTTGTAGTCTTAGTCTGACTCTGGACATGTCCTGTTCTGTGGACTTGGGTGAGTTGGTAGAGGAGAGAAGGCTCCAAGCTGCTCACCAAGACCGCTAGAAACACTGCTCCCAGCCAGCGTCTGCCAGGGCCTTGCCTCAGAGAGAGGGTGCTCGAGGGGCTGGTTGCCAGGGAAACGAGGCACTTCACTGTCCTTTGGGTAAGCTGAACCTCACGTCATTAAGACTGTTGGCTTGTATTACTCAGAGTATAGAAGAATGGGCCTTAAGTGATAGTTCAAATCCATGAAAAATCTGAGTGTACCACGTAATAAACCAGCCATTTCAGGTATTTCACCTCACATATGCAGACTCCATTCATCAGCTGGCTCAAATACTGTGATTTGAGCAGCAAAAGTATGTAATTCGTACTTTACATGTTAGATACTTTTGAAGTGATTGCTACAGAAATGATTATTTAGTACTCTGAATTACTTCTTAAATTTTGATTCTTCTGTATTTTTCTTATAATATGAATATCGATAATTATCTAAGTTATTGTATTTACTGAGATGTTATCATGTGTAGTATTCTGTGCTGTTTAACGCCACACATCCAGGTATAGTACGTGAAGTAAAGCAAATTATACTGTGTACCTATTAGAAAGGGAACCCTTTCAGAGAAAGCTGCTTGAACTGGGACAGTGGCTCACACCTGCAATCCTGGCTACTCAAGAGGCTGAGGCAGGAGGGTGGCAAGTTCAAGGCAAACTTAGCGAGACCCTGTCTCAGAATAAAAGAATAAATTAGAAAAAAAGGGCTGGGGATGTAGCTCAGTATTCCCTGCATTCAATCCCCAATACCACCAAAAAAAAAAAAAAAAGACACTGTGGTAATATTCAGATAGAAATTTGAGCTAATGGTTTTTTTTCAAACTAAACTTTTTTGGTTTGTTGAGACAGTGTCTCACTGTATAGTCCAGGGCAGCCCTGAACTCACTGTGTAGCCCAGGCTGACCTCAGATTACCAGCGGTCCTCCTGCCTCTGCATCCTGAGTGCCGGGATTACAGCATGCGCCATCACACCCGGCTAAAATTAAACTCTTAGTCCCCAGGCTCTGGAGGGTGGAAAGGAAGGGGCTGATGGTGCATGTCCAAGGCCACTTGCCTGATAGTCAGGTCCTTACGATCGTAGCTTTCCACAGATAGAAAACGAATCCTCTAAAACCCAGCGCAGCATTCTGCATTGCCCCGTCCTTCCTTCTGCCTCTGCAGGTCCACATGAAGGATGTCATGTCGGCACTGTGGGTCTCAGGCCTGGACTCCAGTTACTTGCGGGAACAGATGCTGAATGAACCGTTGGTACGAGAAATCGTCAAAGAGTGCAGCAATATACCGCTCAGCCAGCCGCAGCAGGGAGAGGCCATGCTGGCGAGCTTCAAGCCGCGGGGCTACTCCGAGTGCATCGTGACTGTCGGCGGGGAGGAGAGAGTGTAAGTGCCGGCGGGAGCGCTGTGGACGCTGTGGGAAGCCGTAGCTGCTGTGGACAGGAGTTCAGAGTGCTTCTCACCATCTAAAGCATGGCAGCAATCCGCTGTTCCTAATGTCTTGCACGCTCTTCAGCAACTGAAACTGCTACTGTCTGTTGTAAACAGAACCTTAAACACTAACGGCGCATCAATTGTCTCTCCCTAGTTCCCGGAAACCCACAGCCGTGATGCGCTGCATGTGTCCCCTCTACGACCCGAATCGGCAGCTTTGGATCGAACTGGCCCCCCTGAGCATGCCGAGAATTAACCACGGCGTTCTCTCAGCAGGTACCGTGCCATCTCACTTCAGCCGAAGCCAAGGCCACGGCGTACGTAGCTTCGGGGTCCTGTGGGAGACTCAGAACCCTTTAAAGATAACGCTGCGTTGTCTGCGTGGGTCCAGCTTTCAGGAGAGTGGTTGGGGAAGAGCCCTTCCGGTCAGGTCTGGCATCCCACCGTCTCCAAAGAGTGGCAGCCCTGATGGATGTAATCGTTGTGTACTGCAAATTCATAAAAGCTTCAAAAATCAAGAACCCAGGGAGCGGGGCAGGGCAGGGCCTCAGTGAGAAGAGCCCAGCCTTCCCGTGGTGCCGCGGCGCCCCACCTTTGAGCGCATGCTGTGCAGGGTCATGGTCCAGCTGAGTAAAAGACACTGTGTAAAGGCAGACGTTTCCTGTGAGACCTTAGGGAAGTACTCACAGTGCTTTTGTTTGCAAACTCTGCATCGTGATGACTATAAATGCGGCCATCTTTTTGCGTGAACGTGAACATGGCCGTTTTCCCCGGTCATGGAACGAATTGCGTTCATAAACCGAGGTGCTACTGTGCTTAAATTAGTAGCTTAAAGTTATTTTACCACAAACAGTATGTCTTATTTGACCTTTACAAGTTTGAAGATTGTTGCAGATGATTCAAAATTCTCACTTGGAGGTGATGAAAAAGGGTGCTTGCTGCCTTTCCATAGTTGCCTACCTCTCTCTTCACCTGGACTCCGGCTGGGTTCCCTCAGGAAGTGCCCTTTCACATGACTGCAGATACTGTCAGCAGCCCACTAACCTTACCTCTAAAACTTTTAAAGCTATACCATACCCTACCATAAAAAAATGGCTAAGGCTAGCCAGGTGGAGTGGATGCACACTATAATCCCCTCACTCTGGGAGGCTGAGGCAGCGGGATTGCAAGTTCAAGCCCAGGCTGGGCAGCCTAGTGACTTAGCAAGACTCTGTCTCAAAATAATAAAAAGGGCTGGGGATGTAACTCAGTGCAGAGGCCCCAGATTCAGTCCCCAGTACCAGGGAAAAAGAAGACACGGTAAGACTATATTATTTCATAGAAGTGGAGTCACCTTATGCGTCTCAGGATGATTGGAATTACTCGCAGAAGCAGACTGTTGGACAGAGCAGTGCAGCCGCGCGAGAAGGGTGTGCTGCTGTCTCCCGGAGTCAGCGCCCTCAGGCCCCACGTGTGTGCGCAGCCCCGAAGTCTCACCCGCTCGCCTGTCGCCGCCCCTCCCATGTCACCAGTCCTCGAAGGTTTTCTGGGTGGGCCGGTGTCTCTGAAACTCAGCAGCGAGGAGAGGGCTTGTGTACAGTTGCACTGACAGACGCTGAAGGGACGGAACAGTCCCTGTTTCACGGGCCTGTTATCTTTCTTTCTTTTCATGCCTTTCATATTTATTGGAGTTTTTTTAATCATTTGATTCTTCCTCTTTTCTAGTTGGGAAGGTATGTTCTCATTTACATCACTTTGGGGAAGTTGCCTTAGAAATTACAGCCTGCGTTGAAGTTATTAACGTGTGGAGTTAGTCAGTACAATTACTGTTCTAGGGAGTGCTCAGTCTTCAGGCTCCGCAGTCTTACAGTGTTAAAATGGGGATCTTGCGTGACACCACTAGACCAGCGGCGCTGCTGTTACAGTGTTAAAACGCACGGTCATTGGGGCCGGGGAGGTAGCGCAGCCACACAGCACCTGCCTGGCAAGCACGAGGGTCTGAGTTCGATTTCCAGTGCCAAAAAAAAATGCTAATTATCTGGTCTGTGCATGGTGCGTGTATTTGCGATTGTGGTCTTGTCTGAAAGTGTGGACAGATGCACAGTGCTCGCTTGGGTTTACCGTGTTCTGGTTCTTCCTTCTCTCCACCCCCACAGTTTCCATGTAGGATCATTTTCCTTTTCTCTGAAATTCATCCTGTGAATTTCCTTTCATACGGATCTTTTGATGAGAAATTCTCAGATTTGTCTGCAAGCGTGATTATTTTGCCTCCATTCTTAATAGCTTTGCTGGCTATAGAAGTTTAGGTTATTGTTTCTTTTCAGCACATTTAAAGATACCTTCCCACTTATTTAAGCCAGTCCTCAGCCTAAAAACATCTTTCTTTTCCCTGTGGTATATTTAAGAGTATCTTTTTTTTCTCTACCATTTAATTACCGTGTGTATACTTTATTTAAAATTGCATCATATTTGGCCGTTTTTGGCTCCTTGACCCTACAGGGCGTGGGCTTTTAATCCATTCTGGATAGTTCGTATCCATTTTGTCTTCACGCATTGTCTCTGCTGCACTATTCTCCCTCCTTCTGCTGTTGGAAATCACAGCGAACATGGCCAGGCCTCCTTCCTCCACCCTGCACCTCCGCTTCCTCGTGTGACTTTCCTTCTTGTTGCTGCATGCTGCCTTCTTGACGGTTGCTTTTTTTTTTTTTTAGCTTAGATAAAGTAAATTTATTTTCTCATAGTTTTGGATGGATACCTGAAATCCCAGATCAAAATCCATCAGGGTAGGGTTGTGGTAAGGGAGCTCTGTACAGAAGAGACTATTTTTCACATGAATAATTCACTACCATAATTTCCTTCAACTACTTTATGTGGCTGATATAAGGGTACATTTATATACATTTCATTCCTGAAAAGACCACCAAGAATGTACCACAGGAGTTTCAAGATAATGACTATAGTCATTATTTTATTGTAACATTAAAATGCAAATAAACTGTTAAAAGCTGCAAAACTCCGTGAAGATTACAAGTACGTTAAAACCAGTTTGACTTACAGAGGTGCAAGAGGCACACACACAACAGGCTGAGATTACTGACAGTATCTGCCAGCTAGAATTTGTGCACCACTGAGAAATTTAAAAATGGATTTAAGGGAATATTGGTTACTGATGACTGCTTAGCCAGGGGATATGGGTTTGAAGCCATCAGGAGGTACCTCAAACACAGGCCTACAGAGCGCAAGCCCCAAAACAAAACTCTCACGCAGTGTTGAAATTTGCTCTTGGGAGAAGATCTCCACTTCAGAATGTCTGTGCACATTCCTTCTCTTGCTGGATAGCTCGTGTTGTCCAGCAAACAGGAATGTCAGGTTCCAGTGAAGGCCTCAGTAAGGCCTTCGGTTTAGGCCTGCATTGACCGACCTTTTCCAACCACGTCCCGCTTCTTTCCTTTGAGAGAAGAGTATTTTTTCTTCAGTATTAGTTTTCTTCAGTTGCAGTCTAACAAACTTCTCCACTTCCAACAAGTCTGGCTTATCGCTCATTTTGACTGAAAGAAAGACAGGTTCTGTGGCACTGGTTTGTAAATGCTGTAAGGAGTATGGAGTCAGACTCAGGACTCCAGCACGAGGGGGAAGCCAGAAAGTTGTCTTCTTTCAGCACGTCTTATCCGAAGACTTGAAGGCTCTTGCACCGCGGTTCCCGGGCTGAAACGGCAGTTCGCCCCGGCAGAAGTTAGCATTCCCGCACGGAAAGACAGTTGCTTTCTATTTACCCTCAGTGAAGTCTCTGTCTGACTTGGGTGGATCTGCTGTTAACCCAATCCATTGGATTTTTTTTAATTTTTAGACTTTCTCTGAATCTTTTTCAAATCTACTAGACGTTTCCTAGCGTTACCTTCAAGTTTTCTTTCACTCTTGAAGTGTGATAGGCATTGTTGTTTTATCAGCTTTCTCATTATTCCAACGTGTAACATCTGTGCTGTCATTTGTTTCTTTTCACAGAACTAATGTCTTGGTGTGCCTAAGTATAGTGGGCCAATGCTGGAGTTTTATTTAAAGCTGTTTGCACCAGTAGGGGAATTAAACTCTTAGAACGTTACAACTCTAACAGTTGGGTGGCAGAACTTCCTTGTACAGAAGTTTTGCACTTGTTTCTGCCAGTTGCCTGAAAACACTGCTCATTGGTGTCACTATAAATCGGATTCAAGGCTTGAGGGCTCCTAGACAAGTCAGGAGCTGTAAGTCAGTGGGCACTGATTCCTGCTGGCCCGCGCTCCGAGGCAGAACTTCGGAGCGGATTTCCTGCCAGAAGCCCCGTCTTCTCAGGGCCTGTGGCTTAAATTTCTTTTTCATCCCTGGGACAAAAAGTCCAAACTTTCCCAGAGAGGCGGATGCCTGCCAGGCAGAGAGGCTGCCTGCTTGGTAACCTCTAGAGGTTCCAGTTCTCCTTTCAGTTTTTCCTTCTTGTCCGTTGGCTTCTTCTCTTCCAAGACTATTAGAAAAATATTTTATCCAACAAGTTAGTTGTTTTTTACTGAACAGCCACCCAACCTACTGTTACCCAAACTAGGAAGTCAGCTCTTGGGTTCTGTTTTGAATTAAAGCGCACGCAGGCGCCACGCTCCGAGCCTCCCGGGTCTTGCGGACGGGTGTGGGCCCCGGGTCAGGAGTCGCATGAGACTCGCACAGAGCTGGGGAACAGAACTGAGAGGCCTGGAGCTGCCCGTGACTGAGGGGCGGTGTCTCCTTTGCATCACCCTGTAGGGGTGTGAGGCCCGGCACAGACCCTGCTGAGTAAAGCACAGTGGCCAGCGTGACTCATGGGTCTGGCCCTGTCACCGAGGAGCAAGTGAAGTGTGCCAGAGGTCCTGGGTCCAAAGACAAAACTGCAGTGGGAAGAGGTTCTGCAGACACAGTGTTCCCATGCTCCCAGGGCTGAGGACTTGGTTTCAAGTTGCTTACGTGTCTCTTCTGGTTTTCGCAGAAGGATTTTTGTTTGTATTCGGGGGCCAAGATGAAAATAAGCAGACCCTGAGCTCAGGAGAGAAGTACGATCCAGATGCAAATACGTGGACGGCGTTGCCACCCATGAACGAGGTAAAGCACGTTCTCTGTCTGATTGCCCCTCTGGGCCCGTCAGGCCTGCTGTCCTCCTGCTGTGCCCCTGCCTCCCCTTCCCCTGACTCTTGGCCACCCTGCGGGTTCTCATACCAGGGCTCCCACCCGCACTTCCATCCTTGCGTTTGTTCTTTCCTGTCTGGAACCAGAGCCCTAGACGCCTGCCCAGGCCGCCTCCTCCTGCCTCCGCTGCCCCGCCTGCCCCTTGTGCGTGGTCCTTACAGGTGTTGGCGGAGGCCCTTAGGGCGGGGAGTGCTCTGTGCCCCTCGTGCGTGGTCCTTACAGCTGTTGGCGGAGGCCCTTAGGGCGGGGAGTGCTCTGTGCCGCTCGTGCGTGGTCCTTACAGGTGTTGGCGGAGGCCCTTAGGGCGGGGAGTGCGTCTGTGCCGCTGGGCTTCGTTTTCCTCACTGGAACAGTGCTCGGCCTGTGGTGCGCTAAGGGAAGAGTTGCTGTCTGATGAACGCTAAAGACCGCAGGCTTGTGTGGTTCCTGGACTCTTGCTCTGACCCTGACGCCCCACTGCCTCCCTGGGCATGGACAGTCCGCCCTGCCGCGGTCCTTTTTGTCTTCCCAGCATGGGCTCAGGAGCCCGATTGACTCCATTGCTATATGAAAACAGCTTCATCAAACCTCTTCTTACCTAAGGTGATGCTTTGCTTCCTGGGGGACTAGCACCGGTTAACAAGTAGCGATCCCACCGATAAGTTCACTGTGGGTCTTACTCCCTGGGGTTCACCATCTGTTGTGCCGGAAGTGCCAGCTGCTGGGGATATAAGAAAGAGCCTCACAAGGAGAATCAGTTCCCAGCTGGAACCCTGGAATAAAATGGTACCTGCAGCTGTTCTCCAAACACAAATACCCACTGTCACGTACAGAGAACTTCCATGTCTTTTCAGGCGAGACACAACTTCGGCATTGTGGAAATAGATGGCATGCTATACGTTCTAGGCGGGGAGGACGGGGACAAGGAGCTGATCTCCATGGAGTGTTACGATATTTATTCCAAAACCTGGACCAAGCAACCTGATTTGACCATGGTTAGAAAGGTGAGAACTGTAGCTTCCTGTGACTGCTTTGTTTACAAATTGGATTTTAAAGTTAATGTTTCAGCCGGGCGTGGTGGCACCATGCCTGTAATCCCAGCACTCGGGAGGCTGAGGCAGGAGGATCGTTGTGAGTTCGAGGCCAGCTTTCGCTACAAAGTGAGCTCAAGGTCAGCCTGAACTGCAGCGTGAGACCCTGTCTCAAAAAGATAAAAAAATAAAGTTAATGTTTCTTCGTTTCTTAAATGTGCCTTTGACACAACAGAGAGTGTGAAGAGAATTAGCACGGTAGGACCCTGTCTTCATCGGTAGCCTGCCTGCGCTGTCAACAGCCACGCACCAGGACAGGAACACGTGTGTGAGCGCCAGCCCCGCTGGGCTCTGGACAGCGCACTTGATCGGTGCTTTGTGGATGCTCAGATCCAGAGCAAGCAGAGCTCCCGCCTGCCTCTCGGTCACGTCTGCAGTGCTGAGAGCACAGCCTGTGTGTGTTTACGTTCCCTGTTAGAGCAGGCAGGGAGGTGAGCCTCAGGACAGAGCTTGGTCAGTGTCTTGGGCACCAGCATGTTCTCCTACGGTCTCATTGTATGTGCTCTTGTCAGTGAAATTATTGCAACAGAGATTAAGTGACTTTCTCCATGGAATCTAAATCTTGGGATCTTCAAATACTGGTGAAAGAACAGAGGCTGGAAAGCTCTCCCTTTCTTAAATGTATTTTTTCTTTTTCTTTCAATGCTGGGGATTTGCTCAGAGCTCTCTCTGTGTTAGGCAAGTGCTTGATCATACCAAGCCCTGGGAAGCTCTTTCAGAAAGCACAGCCATTACTCACCTACCTTGCTTACGCCCCTTCTCTGAATCCTGTGGTGTCGGATTGGCAGGCCCTGCAGTTCTGCTGTTAGAAATCCACTCCTTTCCATGGGTTGCAGGAGTGACAAGCCCGTGCCTAGAAGTCAGCTCCTGTCCCAGATATGTTCATGTACTCTCCAACACGCTAGGATCTGTCCAGCTTTAATAAATAGTGCCTTTCCCCGATGTGTTCTCCTTTCAGATTGGCTGCTATGCAGCTATGAAAAAGAAAATCTATGCCATGGGTGGAGGATCCTATGGAAAGCTGTTTGAATCTGTGGAATGTTACGATCCCAGGACCCAGCAGTGGACGGCTATCTGTCCCCTGAAAGAGAGGAGGTGAGTGAGTGTGGAGGTGCCTGGGGCTTCCCTCGCTGTGATTGGGTCTGAGGCCTCCTGACCGGGCTTTTGTGCTCCCCCTTTCAAAGTGGCCTTTCACGTGTCCTGACATTTCCTAGAGCAGGAAGGCCCGCGTGTGCATGAGACACTGCATGCGGCATTAAAGCCAGCCCTGGAGGAGTTAAGGGAGTCAGACCTTGAGCCGTGGGCCCACCCCTGCTGTGCTGTGTGGCTTTTCAGGTTTGGTGCCGTGGCCTGCGGAGTTGCCATGGAACTGTACGTGTTTGGCGGCGTTCGAAGTCGTGAGGACATCCAGGTTAACGAAATGGTCACCTGCAAGTCTGAATTCTACCATGATGAGTTTAAAAGGTAATTACGAGTGGTATGTAGCTTCCGCAGCTTTTCCCTTGTACTTCAGGGTCATGGTTTAGCTTTGATTAGTTTTGATTTCAAGTTCCTTCCTTGAACTCTTTAGCAGTTATGTCCTTGCATAGTAGGTATTTAAGCAGTGACTTCAGAGGTATTGGTAGCTTTTAAGTACCAGTGAAATGTAGAGCAGATGTGAACAATTGCTTAAAAGGATCGGCTCCCTCTGGCTTTTAGGAGAAAGCTTAGACTCCTTAATTTAGCATATATGGCCTGTGTGATACTACCTTCATGAACTTTTTCTGCCCTACCCAGTCAGCCCAGACGCTTCACACTGAGACATTTCCCATTTTCCCCCTCTAATATGTGTGATTATCTCAGCTCTGTGCTTGTGTGCTATTCCTTTTGCCTAAAATTTCCTTTCTTCCTGTTCATCCCGGGAATTTGGCCTTGTGCAAAATTCTGCTTGTCCCTCCCTGAGAAAGCCTTTGCCCACCACCTGCTCTGCTCTGGCATTGTTTACACATCCCTCCAGGTTGTATTAAGCACAAGCACCTTCAGGGCAGGACCCACACGCTCAGCTGTGTCCTGGCCCCCAGCCGAGGGCCTGGCCCATATCTGACAGTCTGGTCCGCCGAGTGGAGGAAGATGGGTGGCTGAGTTCTTAACTTGTCTGACAAGCTGCCATATGTCGAATAGGGTAGCTAGTGGCCTTCCCGACCTCTGCTGTCCCTCCCCTCCGCCTTTGATCGGCACAGTCACTGTACAGCGTTCTGCTGCAGAGCCGCCTACAGATGCGGAGAGGAGACTGCTGCACCGGCATGCTGTTAGAGTAGTTTGCCCTGTTACCAGAAGGGGGCGCCAGAGCACAGGATTTGCTTTCCTAGTGCTGTATTTTAGATTAGTGCAGTGAACAGTTACCAAAACATCAGAAATACGTCTATATAAATGTCACCTGAGCTTTAGTGCATTTTAAATTTGGGATATTTGCATAGCCTTTTCCCCAGGTGTAGACGTACACTACCTTAGGAAAATGTATTGCGTATGAGAGCAATTTAGAAGATCATTTGTTCTGGTAGGTAGGAGTGGGCGGGGGTTGTCAGAGACTGAACGCGTCCTCCTTCTGCCCTGAGTTGCTCTGGGGCTTGAGTGCCCTGCGGTGAGTCAGTCTGTTAGTGCCCAAGTGAATGTCGAGGCAGCCTGTCCAGCTGCATTAACAAGCAACCTGTTTGGTTTTAGTAAAATATTTATATAAACCTTTTTCATAATGACTGGACTGCTGCTTACGCAGCGTGAGCCACAACCCGCTTGGAGGAAAAGTTGGGTTTACTTACGTTCTTGCCACTTCTGTCCCTGTTCTCGTTGTGTAGGACTTACACCTGGCTGTAAAATCGACATGCTCTCAATTCTGAGAACCGTTACGTTTCTGTCAGTCCGGTTCATGTTCATAGTTGGCAAACTTGAAGTATAACTATTTCCATTATCTGCTTTGAATTCATCATTATTAAACATAAGAGTGTTGTTCCTTGTTGCTGTTTCAAAGCACTTCCAAATAAAATTCCTGCACCTTCAGTGGCTTTATTTCTAGACTCTCCAGCGCTAGTTTATAAGTAGACCAGAGAATGCGCAGGTCTCTCAATGCACCGTACAGGACTCTCGTGTGTTCAGGTAACCCTGGACACAGAGGGGACAGGACCTCACCCGCGCGGCCCAGCCTCACACGGGCCTCCGAGCTGCGGGTACCATGCTTAGTCCTGCGCACGGGAGGAAACCGAAGCCCAGAGAGGCCAGCAGCTGTCAGAGCTGGTGTGCAGACGCGGTCGTCCGGCCCCAGGGCCCTCCTCATGCCCACTGGGCGGGCTTTAAGCGCTCAGGGCTTCCCACGAACTTCTCCAGAGAGAAACAACATGCGCGAGTAGCTCCCCTCTTAAAAGACCAGATGGCCCCTGCTGTGCTGTCCGCATACTGTGGAGGCCCTTGCCAGGTGAGCAGTCTGGACTGGGCTGGAGACCGTTTAGATTGTTTCTAAGTCATCTTCTGTCTTTCCTGTCTTTGTTCCTTATTTTTAGGTTAAAACTTTCCTGGAAAGGTGCCCTATCGTATTATTTTCTTTGTTTCTGAATAAAAACAAAACTGGTAGGAGGAGAGCAAAGAAATTGCCATAAATTATTACCGGGCCATGGCAACCACGCCTGCCCAGACCTAGGTTTTCCCTGTTCCCTGTCGCTGTCCTGCTGGTGACGCCACTGTCCTCCCAGCGGCTCCTTGCCCCTCCCTTCTGCCTGTGTCGTCGGTTGCCAACATCTTATCTTTCTGACACTCGCTAGTGCTGAGCCCACTGCGCGGCCCGTCCTCAGGCCGTCCCGTGTCCTCAGAGCAGCCCTCGGGGCCCGCTCCCTGCCCGTGTCCTGGAGGGTGGCTTGGGCGTACCCTCCTGCTCACATTTCACCATCTCCCGCGGTTCCCAAGTCCTGCTGACAGCGCTCGGCCCCCTGCTCCGCATGCTCCGGGTCTGTGGTAGAGGAACCGCTGGCCTTTTCAGCATCTCCCTGCCGCGAGTCCTGAGTTCCAGTTCTGAGGTTTGCTGCCCCTGTGTGCACTCGGCCTCGATGCCCCCCTTTCAGTTCTGTGGATCCGTCGTGTTAGCTCTGCAGTTGCAATCTGTCCGTTGCATCTTTTTGACAACTGGCTGAAACCCACGTTGGTTCTCTGGCCCGGGGCGCTGGGATGGCTATGGCAGGAAGGACCTACTGGAACCCCGGAGCTCACCCTCCCTACCAAGATAGAGAGCTGGGAACAGCACTGCGTCCTGGCGCAGCGGGCAGAAACAGAGTCGCCATCAAAGACAAAGGGGCCGGTGCGACGCCTGTCACACCCCCGGTAATGCACTTAGAGAAAGTAGAGACGCTGCATGCCTCTTGCCTGTGCACTCTTGGAGCCCAGCAGGTGGCCACAGGGTCAGATCGTGCCCGGTGCGGGTATTCCCACCAAGCTGTGTCTGTGGCCCCGGCCCGGCAGTGCAGCCGTGGCCCCGGCCCGGCCCAGGGAGTGTTTTCTCGGATGTGCAAGAGTGCCCAGGAGCAGTGTGCGTCTCCTGGCAGGGGCGGAGTTAACCTGCGTGCTGCCGTCCAGGGCTGAGTCAGGCTGCCGGCGCTGGGCAGCAGTCCCCAGAGCAGGTCAGGTGGGCGGTGCAGTGGGCGCCGGCGCCCTGCTGCATCCGCTGCTGCTGCCTGACCAGGAGGAGGAGGCAGCTGCTTCGGATGCCTCCGTACACCTCTCGAGCGAGAGCATGCAGACGGCCCCCCACCCATCGGCTCCCCCACAGTCCCGCCAGGGGACAGAAGCCACACCAGTAACAGGCACGGGGAGAGCACAGCAGTGTGTTGTTAAGTAGAAGGGGCAGCAGCGGGCTCAACGCAAAACTACAGCTCTTAGTGTAGGCGAGGCCCTGGGTTCAGTCTCTTAACACCAAAAAAGGAAAGAAAACCAGAAATAGCTAATGTAGGCAGCCTGGTGACCACTTTTAGGCTGAAGGAAAGCACCCAAGGGAGAACAAATGGGGAGACTCCTCCCCACCCTCAAGGCTGCGGACCCCTCGGATGACAGCGCGCCGATGGCAGGGGAAGCGCCGGGGCGCAGCGCACAGCGCCAAGCTCGGCCCTCCCGCTGCTCTGGACCAAGAGCCTGCGGTGGGCCTGGCTGTGTGGTTGCTGGCCCGGGGGTACCTGGTAATGGTAGCTGTGTCGTGCTGTGTGTCCACCTCCTCCAGCCGTTTGCCCCTCCTCCCCAGCTCGCAGGTGGAGCCTGCTGTCCTTGCCTCGTAGACCTTTCTCCTTCCCAGATGCCCACGCCTGAGGCTCTGGGGCTCCCACGGTCCCCACAGGAGCTGTGTCCCAGTGTCCCAGTGTCCCGTTTTCCTGGTCACTCAGGTGGAAGAATTTTGTCTCTTTTCCCTTCATCAGACTGGACAAGTTATATTGATCTGCCCTCCAGTTTGCTGCCTCTTTCCTTTGTCATCGCCAGTCTGTTGTTGGGACCACCCAGGAAACTTTTTATTTCGAGTACATCTTTTGACTCTAAAATCTCAGGGCCGCTCATCACTAGGGTTTCTGATAGGTACTGCTCCTTCTGTGCGGAGCTGCTGTCTTTCGCCGGGAGCCTGTCGCCATTGCCTCGCTGAGTGTGGTCCTGGTGGCTGCGTCCCGCTCCCTGCCCGGTAGATAATCCCAGCATCTGAGTCGTCTCAGAGTTGGCGCCTTGACTGTGCATTCCCTTGAGATGGGCTTTCATTTTTCTGGCTCTTGCGTTCAGTAAGCTGGGATTGCATCCTGGATGTTGTTAACTTCCTTCTGTCGCTTTAGAGTGTGGTGCCGGGACTTAGGCCGCCACCTTGGTCAGAGCCAAGAGCAGGCTGCCACGCCTGCAGGGCAGCTTAAGTCTCGCCGCGCTTGTTCAGGCTTTAATTGTCAGCATCCGTGGTTCCCAGGTTAAAGACTTCCATCCAGGGCCGCCTCCTTCCTCTTCTCTTCTGGGTTCTCTGCCCAGCCCGCGGTGACCACGCTTGTCCCGAGACCCTTCGTGCTGACTCGGGACACTGCCCTCGGACTGCCGCCCTCAGCTGCCTTCCGGAAGGCTGCCGGGAAATAGGCGCCTCCCCCCGGTGGGGTTGTGCTCCGCTTTCAGTTTCTCTCCAAAACCTGCCCGCTGCTGTCGGTGTCCATGGCGCTTCGGGAGCTGTTTCGTCTTCTGTCCTGAGCCACTAACGGGTACTCGCGGCAGTGTAGTGCTGAGAAGCAGATGCCTCTCGAGAGCGCGCCTGTCGTCTCCTCCTCTTCCCTCCCTGACTGCGAGCCTCCCGCCGCCTCTGGAGCTCTCGCTTCTCTCTTCCTGCCCTTTGCCTCTCCAGAGCTCACCACTGTGATCCATTCTGTGTATGAAAGACTGCTTCTCGGGACAGTCTTGCTTCTGAGCTGTCAGAGGACGCAGCGTTTGTAACTTCGAAAGCATTGTCACTGAAGGCCTGGGCTGCCTCTGCATGACTGAGTCATGTCACTCAGTGATGGCCAGGCCCGGGCGCTGTGCACAGGACTCCTTCATCCTCGCAGCACTCACTGGAGGCGGGTGATGGTGTCGGGCGCCCCCACTTTACAGAGGAGGAAATGGAGCCTAGCATAGGGCAGTCGTCCAGGGCCCGTGAGGTGAGAGGACACTCACAACGACAGGCTTTTATATCTGTATTGTAAGCAGCAGCTAAATACCCGATCCGATGAAATTTCCGGGTTAGTTCTGTTTCACTTGAAGCTTCAGCATCACGTAAACCAAATTGCCTCTCAGCTTGTTTTTTTTTTAACCAGGAACTCAGAATCACTGATCCACTTCAGGTCATCTGTCTAGACCGGTTTTTCAGTTCCGTGTAGCTAGCCGGAGGTGCGTTATGCTAAACTCTCAGCTCAACAGGCGGATTCTGAGACAGCACTGGGTAACAGATGCCTTCGCTCTGGCTGGCTCAGGGGAGCCCGCGCCTTTCCGCCGGCAGCGGCCCGGGCTTCGGGTTTGCCGTGGACGAGGCTCGGGGGCGCTCGTCAGCCTCTTTGACTCAGAACCCAGGACGTAAATGCCAAGGCTTAGTGATTTGTGTTCAGCCCCGAAAATGTGAAATGTGAGTAAGTCAGCATTGTCTGACATTTTTCAAACTTTTTCAAAGGCTTGTTCATGATCTCCATTTTTATTTTTCAGTAAGGGCTCTTAGTTTTTTCCATTTTCCTTTTTATTGGAGGCATTTGGGAAGAAAAGTTCAAAATTTGTAGTTCTGGCCCCAGCAGACTGCTGCCTGTGATCCGCACTGAGATGTTCAGAGCATCAGATGTTAGGAGAATGTATGCAGAAATGTGGCCGCTTAGCAGGGTTTGCCACAAGGGACCATCGTTTTGTTGCCCTGTCTCTTGGAATCAAAATACGGAAGCCACTTCACAGTAACCTGCGAAGAGCATTCATTGAAATAAAAGCGGTGTGTTCTTTACAAAATAACTTTGCGTTGGTATTTGACGTTGAAGTGCTGTAAGCATAAGGTGCTGGCCCGTTTGGTTGCTTCTTAGCAGAGTTAGGAGCCAGGAGCAGCGCCCATCTGTGTACCCGTGTGCACCAGCGACGGGGCAGCACTGGGTCCGTGTGCTCCCGAGGCTTCTAACAGGAAATCGTTCGATCACATTGCCCTGAGTGAACATAACTACAGATCAAGCTCTAGATTTGCTTTCTTAAGAGAAAGGGGGAAGACCTCTCATTGTGGAATGATTTCCACCTGTAGAAAAGCTGCGTGAACAGCGTAGGTGTTCCCACAAGCCATCCACGCCGTTTCTCCTAGCGCTAGCACCCTCCTCAGCCGGAGCACGGACAGCAGAGCCGCGTACTTACGCCGCGTAGTTCACCAGACCGGGACACTGGGCCCTCACCACCACCGTCTTCCTCTGCTCGAGATGTGGTCTGGGACCCGCCAGTGTGTTCAGTTGCTGTCGCTGGCCAGGTTTTTCCTAGAAAGTCTCTCATCTGGGTTCATCTCATAATCTCGGGATCAGGCTGGCGTCTTGGTGTTTGCAGTGTGTGTTGGCCACACCGCAGGAGCCGTGGACAGCCTTGTCCGCGTCCTGTCGGGGAGAGCGTGTTGCCAAGCTTTCGGCTGGGCTCTGCCACCTTGATCACTTGGTTGAGGTGGTGTCTGTTGGCTTTCCTCCCCGGAAAGTTAGTGTTTTTCTCATTATAATTAAAAATATCTTGGAGCGTATAATCTGAGCATATGCAAAGCTGCTATGTCTCCTTAAACTGCCACTCCCTAATTTTAGTGTCCTTTGGTAGAGGTAGGCTACGGTCATTACACTGTGGTTTTTGCCTACTGTGATTTTTTTCTGTTTCCCTCACTCATTGTGCATTTATTAATTGGAATTCCCCTGTAAAGGAAACCTGCCCCTTCTCTCTAGTTTCTAAATTTACTTCTACTGGTAGTGACTTGTGGATTTGTTTTATTCTGTGAATTATGAATCCAAGCCTATCATTTCTTCCCTCTCTCAGACTGTCCCAGCGCCAGCCTCAGGAACACTCTCTCTCAGCTCCTACAGCGTGGGGCGAGCCTCCCGTCCCTTAGAGCTCTTCCTGTCTGGCCCTGCGCGATGCTCCAGGCGTGTCTTACGTTTTCTCTACCTCAGCTCGGGAATCAGCCATTTCTTCCTGGAGCTCTGGATCCTTTTAGTGCTTATTAAATTGATTTTCAACAGAGACACCAAGGCAGTGTACTGGGAAAGAAAAGCTCTCAACAAACAGTGCTGGAACAGCCAGCTCTGCATGGAAAACGGTGAGCTTTGACTCATCCCTACACAAAAACTCACTTGAGATGTATCACAGACCTAAATGTAGAAGCTAAAGCCATAAAATGTCTAGAAGAGTGCACAGGAGAAAGCTCTTTGCAAGCTTGGGGGAGGCAGAGATTGCCTAGGATGCAGAAAGCATAACCATAAAAGAAGAAAAGGATACACTGGAAGATTCCACTAAGAAAACGAAAAGGCACACCTATATTTTGGGGGGCAAATATTCATACTACACATACGTAACAAAGGATTTGCATTCACTAAATACAAAGACTCCTCAACGGGCCTTTGCTGAGAGAAGACAAAGGGCCAGTAAGTACGTGCTCGGCTCAACATCCTCAGTCTGGGTTGTTGGTTTTTTGAGACAGGGTCTCGCTATGTGCACTCACCGTGTAGCCCAGGCTGGCCTTGAACTGCGGCAATCCTGTGTGCCACCACACCTGGCTCAACATCGTTAGTGTTTAGGGAAACGTACACCATTAAGATGGCTAAAATATTTTAAAGACTGACCACGCCAAGAGCTAATAATAACACCGAGCATTCGGGATTTTCATGCACTGCTAATTGGAATGCAAAAGGGCCCTGCACTGGAAAGAGTGGACCATTGTTTTCCTGGCCTTGCGTATAGCCTTTCCCCAGCACCCAGAAGCCATAAGAAAAGTCCACGTAAAGATACTCACCCCCTGGGGTCCATGACAGCTTTACTCACCGGTAGCCAAACGCTGGCTGCTACCTAGTGGGACCTGAGCCAGTGGCAGATGAACAAGTTCGGCCCTCTGTGAGTGGAATACTACTCAGAGATGAAAGGCGCAGGTTATTGGTGTGAGCACAGGTGAGTCTCAGAAACGAGCCTAGCACAAGCAGTAGCTTGGCAGGCAGCGCCCCCTCTCACCACGAACTGGTCCTGACCCTCCAGCACAGTCAGGGTCGCTGTAGCGCCAGGAAGCACCGCAGAGCTTCCCGGGGAGTGGGGTGTGGGGTGGAGATCTGCTCTGCACCTGGTGCCTGACGTAGTCTTGGCTTTGTCTCTTCAGGTGGATCTATCTTAATGACCAGAACTTGTGCATCCCCGCCAGCTCCTCCTTTGTTTATGGGGCTGTACCTATAGGAGCCAGTATTTATGTTATCGGAGACCTTGATACAGGTAAGGGTGTCACAATGATTTTCTTGGAATGTTTCCAGTAAATCAGCAGCAGGTCACCTCACCTTTGCCTACTTTGGTGGTTTAGGTACTAACTACGACTATGTGCGAGAGTTTAAAAGAAGCACAGGCACCTGGCACCACACAAAGCCACTCCTTCCATCCGACCTGCGCCGCACCGGGTGTGCAGCTTTACGAATTGCAAACTGCAAGCTCTTCCGCCTGCAGCTTCAGCAAGGCTTATTCCGAATTCGTGTCCACTCACCTTGAAGAGGAAGCAGAGCAGGTCACGCGACCCTGTGCCGAGTGTGCCGTCATTTCGCTGGGCGTAACGGAGACCCGAGGTGCAGCCGAAACTTGCTGTGTGTGCCGGGCTTTGGGGTGGTGACTGCGGTGGTCTTAGAATGCTTAGAAGCTTGAGCGTCTGCTCTGGTTGGGAGACCGTGTAACTCTAGCACTACCTGAGAGGAGGCGGGTCCTCGGGTTAGCTGTGTCCATAGCAGTGGTATCCCAAGGAAGAGGGATGGGGATGGGGATGATGTCCAGTGGCAAAGCTGAATCCTGCAGTTTATTTTCCTCGAAGGGAACTCATATCTGAGTGCTGTGTTCCAGGTATGTGACTTTGGAAAACAAACAATCCATATATGCAAATCAACATATCCAAACATACCAAGATCGCTTCTACTGCACTTGGAAGGACTTACTATGTCTAACCTTGCCCAGTGAATTAAAGTCTGTGCCTAAAATGCTAGATTGGACTCTGTGCCAGTTAGTCTCTGTTACTAGTGCTCTGTCCTAAGAATTTTTTAAAAAACTATTATGATGAATTGACACTAAGATAAAACATCTCTTGTATAATGTTCTGTCTTAGCAATGTAAAGTTTAGGCAAATTGATGTCAGGTTGCAGCCCTCCTGTAAACTTAAAGGAACTTGCTGACCTCTCTGTTACTTTACATGAAGACATGTCATGCCATCATTTCTGGGGCGGTCCTTTTGAAGTTGTGAAGGATCTCATGCAGTGCCATTCTTCCTTTTACAAGAGTGAGGATATTAGTGGGTAGGAGATTTTGTAAAAGAAAGACCCGAGTTAAACATGTAATAAAAGTCTGCTATGACTTTAAAAAAAAAATCTGTCAGGTTGAAAAGCATAGGGATCAAACCTTTTTTAATATAATCTGAAAGCACACAAAGTCTCGTTTACTACTGTCTAGGATTTGAAAACTTGTTTTAGAATGCAAATCTGTGTTGAAAAACTAGTCTCTGTAATAGAATGTTCCCAATGCCGTTCGCTGGTATGTTTTAGACACAAATTATGAGTAACGTTTGGCTGGTAGAATAAACTACCTCAACTTAATTTCATTTTGTTCTTAGTAGAGCAAATTCCTCTTTCCTCTTTCCCTCCTTCCTATCACTCATTCCTACCCTGCTCCCCTAAGAGGGGAGAGAACTCTCATTGGTGAACTTACCTTGTAAGACATTTTGTTTTCCATCCAAATTATACCACCTTGGTGTGAAATCAGGGACTTAAAGTGCTGATTATGTCATAGTTTGAATTTTATGCAATATCAAATTTCTAATCAGTGTAATATAGAGTACTTCATTTCTAATTGTTTTCTACAACTTTTTTTCCTCTTACAATATGGCTCTAAGAAGCAACATTTTGTCTTACTGATGAATAAATGTATAATATATCCTTTGGTTGTAAATTTGGGAGATGGAATTTCTCCTAGAAACTCCCCATGTCCAGTGTTGTGTGCTGCAATCATGCATAGGAAACACTGCGTATGTTTTCCCACCCACGGGCGTAAAGAGGGTGACCTAGCTGCACTTTTCTTTCTTTCTTACACCTGCTGCAGGGCAGGCGACACTACACAGGTTGCTGAGAGAGGCCAGGCTCGTGGGCCTCTAGGGAATGTCAGGTGTGGCACCTTAACTCTGAAGGTGCAGTGTTTTACCTTACGTACCCGAGGTACTGGCTGGACGCGGCACGCACTCGTGCAAGCCAAGCCAGCCCAGCGTCACTCAGAGCCAGGCTTAGAACTGCACCGTCGTCAGCCAGCTGTTACCCGTGCATCCCCCACCGCCACGTCCTTCAGGCCGCTTTTCATCGCAGTAAGCTGTGTGGCCACTCCAGAGAAAGAGCGCTTCCTTTTTACAGTTAGATACTAATTTGAGAGGACGTCAGTTGCTGGAAAAGTGCATTTGCTTTGGTGACAACCCTCATGGAACCAAACGCTGGCATTCAGAAGCTGTGGGACCCTGGAAGCAGTAACTGACACCCTGCAGCCATGATGGCCGGCAGTGCTCTGTCTTTCATTCCTGAAGCGCAGATTCCTCGCAGGCCAGGCCTCTCCAAGGAGACAGCTCGTTATTTAGGAGTGAATGGGTCCTGTTGCAATACTGGTAGTGCCTGTGTGACTTGGTAAACTCACTTTGGAAATGTTTTAAAATTCAGTTCGTGTACACTGTAGCTGCAGAAATTAATGTTCTTCTAGAAAATACATTTGCCACTGAGTATGGGGTGCAATAACCGACAAAAGCTGCTAAGTGCCAAACTGCTATTTTATTTTATATACATAGGAAACAGTTGTGTAGGGCTTTATTTAACTTTATTACGTTCCAAAACGAATTGACTTCCTTGTAAATTATACTTATTTCAGTATTGTGAGATAAATTATAACTCATTTTGTACAGGTTTGTGTTTTAAAATTCCACTTATGCCTTGGAACACCATTTCTTGGTAAGTCCTCGGGCGTCCTTTCTCCGTGACGCACTTTGCCAGGTGCGTGCTGCGTTTGGCGGCTGAGGACAGGTCTGAAAGTTTTAGATGCGCTGTCTCTGGGGGAAGTGCAATTGTCCTCACCCCACCGATGGAGGGAGCCTGTCTCAGGCTACAGTAGGAGGATTGAAGGGGACTCTCTGAGGCTGCAGTTTAGAGTGGGTTTGTTTGTTTGTTTGTTTGTTTGTTTGTTTCTTTAACACATCCAGATGTAGATTTTTTAAGTGATTGATTTAAAATGAAGCGTTTTATTTTGAGAGTGCTTATATCCTGTGAGAAATGTGACGGGTGACTGAGGCGTGGTGCTGTGTGACTTCGTATGGCTGGTATGTTTACTGTGGAACCATGGTTCCAAACTACACGTATTACTGTCTCCTGGTGCTTCAGATAAACCCTCAAGCCTGTTGACCTTCTGTTTATACTGCTGGATTCAGCTCCTAATTGTAAATATGGACATTTTGGTCGTGTGCAGTAAGTTTTGCCTGGTGTTTGCATTTCTCCTCATTAGCAGGATTAAAACAGCGTTGACCGACCAGGCGTTGGTGTGCTGTAGGGATGTGGCCTAGGGGTTTTAGCTCCCTGTTCTGCTATGAGGAGTTGATAGCTCATTTGGACTTTTTCAAACTGCGCAACAACCGAACAAGCCTGTTGGGTGTGTTTCGTTCTGTTCTGTTGCTCTGCCGTTTCTCTAACGGCACTTTCTCCATTGATGGCATGGAAGTGTCTTCTCATAGTCTCCCTGCAAAGTATAGGAAGTGCATCCCTCATCAGCGTGATGAAGACAGGACTGTCTGCCGTGGCACCTCACCGGAGTGAGGTGGGAGGGCGGTCCCGGGGAAGGCTCGGTTTCCCTGCTCTGTCAGGACCCCGGTAGCTTGTTCCTGTGCTGTGCACCACAGCGGGCGCCTGGAAGTGTTCCAGGGAGAGCCAGGAGCTCCGCAGTGTCCCCAGTGACGCTCACTACCTGGGGAGGGCGAGGGGGACAGGGTATGCGGCCCTCAAGGTGCTGGGACACCTGGTGGAGGGAAAGGGACGGCCGCCTCTGCAGCTGACCCCGAGGAAGCCTGTGACAGCAGATAGGCCCCGCTCAGGCCACAGGTGTCACTGAGCACCTTCCAAGAGTCACATTGCCCTCCCTCGCTGACTGGTAAACTCCCTGGGCGCTGGGCAAGGACCCTGTCTGGGTCACTGCTGAGCTCAGGGCCTGTGCGTAGTAGGTGGGCAGTGTCTGATGAACGACACAGAATCCCCGTGGTCACAGTGATGCTCTTCACTGGGTGGAAAAGCAGTTTTGCTGGATTTTAAACGGAGAGCTTTGTGCACAAGTGGGCTGGCCTTGGGTAGAGTAGGAAGCTAGCATAGAATAAATACAAAGTGCCTCTTGCACACCACGCACAAGCCTGTGTTCTTGTGTGCCCTGGGATGCCTGAGACCTGTCCTCGGCACACCTGAACTCCCGGCATGCCCTGCGCAGGTCACACAGGAGCCAGCTGAAAGAGAGTGGGTTTTGTCAGTGAGCTGTAGGACTTGTGACGGTCCACAGAAACCGGAGTCCCTTCTGAAAAAGAAAAGGGGCTGCCCTGTAAAGAGTGAGGTGTCATCTTCCTGTGCCAGCCCGCATCATCAGCAGAGGAAAGAAATGGTCTCAGCATGCCGAGGGAAGTTTTACTGGCTGGTGACGACCCCTGCAGCACCCCTCACCCACTCCCCAGGACTCGCAGAGCTTGGTGGCACTGCGTGCCAGCTGGCCCACGGCGGCCTTGGGGAGAGCAGGAGCTCGGGTGGAGGCTCTCGTTCCTGCCGGCCCGTGAGTCTCAGTGGTACTGAACTAAAGACTTTCTATTTTTTTGCTGGTAAAGCTTTGTAAAGTTTTATACTTTTCAAGAGTAATTCTATCGTTACTTTAGTTTTAAATACCTCTCGGTGCGTAGTAGTTGCATGTGTGTGAGGTAAGGAGTCTGTTCACACCTGTGGACCCTTGGTTGGAAGCATACAGTGTAGCAGCGATGGCCCTTTGTCCGCTCTGTCCCTGGAATTCTCCAAGGGATTGCATTTCTAACTCTTTCCTGTGAAACCAAATATCTGATGAAGAAAGCTATGTGATGTGATGACTTAGTAAGAAATGTCTGCTTTTTATTTTGAGAAAACCGCCAGTCTGCTTCAGTTGCTGTCCAAGTGGAATCTGCCTGCTGGTGAATTTTGACGTCCCTGCAGCCCCGCAGGGTTGCCGAGCTGCTGACCCCATACTGCCCTACGCAGACGTGCGTTGTGATTCCCAGGCTGCTGTGGTTTCCATCAGGAGAGACCCGGGATGGCAGTGATGCCCACAGAGCTGGGGACAACAGGGAGGCGAAAGGGGCAGTCAGCCAGGTCGGGGACCCGTGCAAGGAATGGCCACCTCTGCTGGGTGCAGAGACACAGCCTGCAGTCCCAGCACTCTGGGAGGCTGAAGCAGGAAGATCTAAGTTCGAGCCCAGCCGGGGCCCCTCAGCGATGAGCTGGACCTTATCTCAAAAGAGAGAGAAGGCCAGAGATCCCAGTTCAGTCCCCAGTACAGAAAAAAAGAAAGAAACGGCCATTCACCTCAAGTGATTCAAATCCCAAGTCCATGTAGGTTCCTTTTCTACTTAGTTCCATTGGGTAGGGCCCTCTTTTTAGCATTCGCTACAAATAGGTCTAGGTCCCTTGTTTTTATTTATACTCATCAGACTGAAATGTGTTCCTTGGAACTTGGGGGTTAAACTTTCCCAGTCACACCAGCGAAGTTGGTTTGAATATGACTTCACACGGCTGGCTTTATCATGTTTCCTGTTTGATTGGATGAGAGTTACATGCATTTATTCCCCTGTGCTTTGTGTTTGTAGGAAAAACTCTGTTCTCAGCTACCTCATTATGTAGTGTTGTGCTTGATCCTCTGCCAGTTTAGAAGAATTCAACACATTCTGTCCTTTAACAAAGGCCTGGAAGCAAGCAGTGAGCGGCCTTGAGGAATACAATTCTCTAAGGCGTATTTTCCACTTTACTACTTTTTTTAGAATAGGCACTTTTAATCAGGAGGAACAATAATTCTCCTAGAGCTACTGCAGAATGATTACTTGAAACTCAACTTGAACCATAAGGAGTCTTTAAAGGGCTCTGTTTTCATATAGCGGGAAAGGATTCTGTTGAAACACCACTGCTGTGTAAAGTAGAGGGCTGAATCTCCAGGCTTGTGAGGGCCGGAAAGGGAAATGCATCTGTCTGCAATTGGACCCAGGCTTTGGAGCGCAGGTGCTTGAGGCCACTGATGTTCCCTTCCTGTAGGGTGCTCCCGTCTGCCAGGAATCAGCGATTCTGGTAGGAATGGGGACTCACTGCCAGGTCCCTCGGCTGCGTTAGTGCTGATGGCCCGGAGCTTTACAGTGAGACCCCGAGGTGTTTCCTGAGTACAAGTTTGAGCTTGGGCGAGCTGCTCAGAATCGCACCGTGCCAAAGTCGTGCCCGATGTGATCTCTTCCACACGGAGGAGGATTCTCCCGACTTCCCCCTGACTTCCTCCTGCGCCTGCGTGTTCTCCGCACCGCGAGTGATGGCTCCTTCGCACCTCCATCGGCTTACCCGTCCCTGAGCCAGGCAGAGGGCGCTGAGGGGCTCAGCACCTGCAGGCAGACCCTCCCTCCTTAGTAGTCAGAGGAGTAACACCCATGCCTTGCCGCCTTGAGTGCTCAGAATAAGTTAAATTCCAGTGAAATCTACAATTTAGCTGTCCTTATTCATTACTAAAATTTAATTTGAGCCCAGCAGCAGCGCATTTAATTTGGTAGCACATGCATCTAATCCCAGGGCTCTGGGAGGTTGGGCGGGAGGATCACAAGTCTGAGCCCAACCTGACCTACAGCGATTTAGTGAGACCCTGTTATAAAAATCTTTCAAAAAGGCTGAGCGTGGTGGCGCTCACCCGTAATCCCAGTGCTTGGGAGGTTGAGGTAAGAGGATCACTACAAGTTCAAGGCCAGCCTGGGCTACAGAGCAAGGCCTATCTCAAAAAAAAAAAAAAACAAAAAACAAAAATTTAAAAAGAACTGAGGGTGTAGCTCAGTGCAAAGGCCCTGACGTTCAGTCCTCAGACTGAAAAAGTAGGAATGTATGGTTGTGCTTTTCAGAGTGCAGGGCTTGCGCCTGGCAGGATGTGAAGCGTCTGAGGTGACAGTGGCTGAGCCCCTGCTGACCCGCAGCAGACCCAGCCCTTCCCGGGAGTGGTGTCCAGGGAACGAGGTTCTTCCCTCTTTTCCGGTGGTGGTGCAGGATCTCCCTGGATACTGAGGTGCCGCTTTCCTGAGCGGACTCAGTGGTCTGGGTGTGGGCTCCAGGGTTAGGAGACCTGCAGCTGCATTTCTTCCTTTTCTAGCGGGTGGCATGGCCTTCCCCTCCGGTTGGCGGGGCGAACTCTGCCCTTGACTGTCAGCGGCCAGCGCCGGGCGTCGAGCCGCCCATCCTGACTGTCCCTGGCCTTGCAGCCCCCTGCATTCCCGTGTCCGCGCCATGCAAGGTATAGGGAGTGTATTTCTCTGTGTGTTTATGTGGTTGTTTACTTCTGGACCTGTGTCTCCCTCCCACATCGTAGTTACGTTGAGGATCGCTTTCGATACCTGAGGCACTCCAAAGTACACCCCAAAATACTGAGAGTGCCGAGGGTCGTAATACACGGCCTCTGTTCAGAACTGGCTTAATGCAGTCCTCTAAGAAGACTTCAGATTCTACCACATTTGACTCTTTTCTCACTGAACTGTCAAAGATAGTAGGCTGTACTGATGGAACTGTTCTCTTGATCTCTGAGGTCAGTAGGCCCAAACTATACTTTCTTACCTTGATGTTGTGTGAAACATAAAAAAAGCAAACAAACAAATTGATAATTAGTATGGGGGGGGCTTGACCTTCACATGGAGAAGGTTGTCTAATGGTGATCCCAGAGGTGAATTCCTTCCTTCCCCTCCCCTCCTGATCCTGAGGCTGAGCATTTTGCAGCGGGACACCTGAGTGTCCTTCCTGGCCCCTTTGTGACTAGGCGCAGGGTGTAGGAACCGGGCTGGCATGGGGTGAGCGGCAGGCCTCATTCTCTGACATGAGCTTGTCGTTGTCCTTTGTAACGGTTTCCTCGGTGACTGCTATAAAAATAGGAAAGACAGCGCAGAGTGGGGAGGGGCCGTATGAGGTGTAGAAGCCCAAGGGCCCTTCACAGCGTGAGGGCTGAGTGCAGCCCTGCGTCTGGCTGGAAAAAGGTGGGCGCAAGAGGCAGGAGGCTATCTGGTTGCTGAGGTCTGAATGTAGACCATGTGCGGGGGCGGGTCTGGCAGGTCTGTCCCCTGCCTCTGAGGATGGCAGCTGCAGGGCGGTGGAGGGGTCACAGCAGGGACCTTTGGAGGCTGTGAGGTGTGGCCGGAGCCGAGCACAGGGCAGTGTGGCCTACTGTAGGGGTGGGGGCCTGGCACAACTGGGACTTCTGCACAGTGCTGCCTTGTGTGAGCCGGTGGCTTCTTAGAGCGCCTTTGCACTGGCCCTGTAGCAGTAGGACAGCCGCCGCATGCTCTGCCCTAAATCCAGGGCCCCACGGCAGCCCCTTCCCGTCTACACCCAAGCTTGTGGGTTCTGCTGCTCCCTCCTCTCATCTCCAGGGCCCTCCCTAAACCCGCTTGTCCGCTAGAAACATGCTGCCTGCTCTCCGCGCTTTCCTTCTGACCCTGCGCTGCCTGACAGGCGGGACAGCGCTGGGAGCCGGGCCTCGTGCTGGCATCCCCAGGCCACCTCCCTCTGGTGGTTTCGTCTTGTCACCCTCTCCTCTGGGGGGAGGGCGGGAGCCTTGCTTTCTGCCGCTGTCTCTGTGATCGCAGGGAGAGGCCGCAGTCCTCTCTCGAGCGACATTTGTTCTGAGCTAAGATTGGTTTCTTCTGTGGCCACCCAGAGGTACTGCTGGGAGCCATCTCCAGGGACGTAGGCCCTTGCCATGGGTGGCACGTCTTCCTTGGCCAGACTGGGGACTTCGTCCCTGTTGAGGAGGGTGTTTTGGTCCTGCTTCTGAGAGCATTCTTACTTATACCCTTCTGGCGGTCAGCTTACTGCCTGCCCTGTTCCTCCGACCCACGCTTCTTGAGTTACACAGCACAGAAAGGAGGAAAGGAGGGAAACAAAAATCCCCCTTCTGGTTCTGCAGACCATGGAGTGTCCAGAGCAACGGCCTCCCAGGACTTGTAGAGGTGCCAGGCTGTCACCCGGGCCCCAGGAGCTTGCCGGGTGCAGCCCTGGGCCAGAGGACGCCCTCCCTCCCAGGCGAAGCCTGCACGCACCTGGGCCCTGAGCAGCTGTAGCCTATGGCAGTCACCTCCCCTCCCTGCCGGTGGATCAGGCCCGGGCCACGCGTACTACCTCAGCCCCAGCAGCCAGTGCAGCCCGTGTGGCCCCCTCAGAACTCACAGAGACAAGCGCTGTGCCGCACCCCTGCAGGAAGCCTGGGCGCCCTCCGCGGGACTCAGCGTGGAGTCCTGGGGCAATCCACAGAGCAGACTGGGACCATTGTCCCCCCCCCTCGTTTAGCTTCGATTGAAGCACATCCTATGCTTCAAATCAGGAGTAAAACTTAAAATCAGAATTCTTGTTTACAATGAGGGAGAGAGCCCACCTTCTCATATTTTTGTTAGAAGAAATTTTTGCTTCAAAAGAAATTCCAGAACATGTTTTTTTATTATTAATCTAGCATAGTTCATTGAACTTGACTTGGATGCTTTAAAAAAAAAATCACATAGGGTCTGGTACATGGGGAAAGCGCGTTATCAGCTTTAGGAAATAAATAAACCTTCCATGTCTGCCCATTACAGTGTCTTTAACAAGTTTTCCATTGAAATTAGGGGGCTGGGTAAGTAATTTCCTGTTGGGCAATGTGTCCAGTGGCCTTGAGTTGAGAGGCACAGGCTGTTTTATTCAGCAGAACTTGCTCAACTAAGGCATCAGCCTTTTCCACCGGGGCTTTATTTTCCTTGTGGACTCATCTGTAACCCAGCTTCAGTCTGATTTCTCCTCTGCATGCCCAAGTCACGGTGACAGAGCGCTCCTCAGCACTGCTCTGTGTTGCATCCTCTGGGGACTGCGACAGTCATGGAAACAGTGGTGGCTTCAGCGCTGACGGTGGGCGAGCACCGTCGCGGTCAGCTCTGAGGTTTGCGTCAGCCAACCCCGGAGTTAACCGGTCCCCTGGAGCTCCACCCTCATCAGACCTTGTCCCAGCACCGTGTTTCCAGTGATGAGGGCGTTTGTGCGCACCCGTGAGTGAGACCCACCCACAGTGCACTGTACGTGTGGAGCTGTGTTTGGCTTTTGTCAGGGGTATGGGTCTTCTGCTACAAGAGAAATCTATCAAGGAAACCGCTTAAGCCCGGACTGTAAATTCAGTTTGGTGCTCCCAGATTCATCCTGCAGGATGGCCAGCCCTGTTCCCGCCATGCCTGCCTGTACTGTATAGGGCAGTTCGCGTGTGACTCACTCATCCAAAGAGCTGGGTTTTAGCACACACTTGATTTGTCATTTTGGATGTATTTAATACCATAAGGAAAATACCACAAAGACCATGTAAGTTCCGGATTCCAAAAATACTATCTCCAAGTCCCTCCTGCTAAACACAAATCTGTTTAATGTATCTGTATTTTCTGGCCTGGTATTTGCAGATGGTTTTTAATTTAAGTCTTGCCACTTTTATTATCTAGTAAAGTTCCAAGTTGTGAGGTCTGCTTCGCCGTGTATTCAGATGAGGGTGTTTTGTGTATGATAAAGTTATCTTTTTAAACAATCCTCCTACTGAAAAACAGTCATTTGCAATGAACATACATAAATTAAGCACATTATACAGAAAGTTCAAAATATTTGAAGACTGCAACTTGTAAAATTGTACTCCCCGAATCCAGTAGGCTAGTACAGAAATTGTGCTAACTTGATTTTGTTGGAATGTCTCGTGTCTCATATCCTGTGGTCCAAATGTATTGGTTTATTCTGGGGGGGTAATTTTCTATTTTTTTTCTGGTATGAAATTTAGCGAAGTTAGAAGTAATTTTGAATTAGTAACCTTTCGTACAAAGTTGCTTTGTGGTTTACAAGTAACACCGATGCAGAAGGACATGTTCACTTTCTTACATTAAGCAGCACGCACTTTGTTTCTAGGCGTGGTGTGGCACAGGGTCTCTGGGGTCCGACCTGTGCCCTGGGGACAGGACGCATTGCCATTGTGCTGTTCTTTGGTACCAAGGATCAGTGAAAGTGTTTTATCTTTTTTACGTAGTTTGTATTGACTGGATTTTATAACTGTAAGAAAACAGAAACAGAGCGTTGTATTTTGATCCGAAATTTGTGTATGGTACAAGTAATTTTGTTTTCTGTATTAGAAGTTCATTTAAAACTTGAAATATTTTCTAGAAGGGAACTGAACAAAATGGATTGTCTTTAAGCTGTTTAATTAACCTAATAAAAGAATTTGATGAGGGAAGGCGTGCTGATTATTTCTGGCTTGTAAGCGTGCTTCCTGCTGGGTCAGAGGTGTAGACGCATCGGGATTCAGTTCTGGAAAGTCCTGTCGGAGGTTTGTATTGTGACTTCCCCAGCCCTGTGACCTCCGCAGCCCTGTGAACCCGGCTGTCCCGGAAGTGCTGTTGCCTCGGTCCCTCCCGCCTGCCCGAGGGTGTCTGTCGGGTGTCTGTCGTCTTCCCTCAGAGGTGGTTTCCCTGTGCCTTCCCATGAGGAGGGAAGCTAGGCCTCCACAAAG